CACAAAGAGGTCAAGTTTATGAAGGAGAGGACTCCTGAAATGAATCCTGAAGGATGACATAATTAGGGAAAGAAACATGTTCCAGACAGTTTCCTGGCCCTAAAGAGGTGTCCTCTTGCTTGCAGGATAAAATTTAAATCCCTTAGTTTTGCAAGTAAGACTTTTGCCTCATCTTCTACCACTTCCCTATCTCTACTACTCCTACTTTTTTCCCAGCTACACTGAAGAACTTGCTGTTCTTCAAAGGACTTGGCTATTTCAGATTTCTGAACCTCCACACGTGTGTTTCCCTTTACCTGGGACATTTTGGCCCTGGTAGGACTATTTCACCAAGACACTACTACTGTTTAAAGATAACACTTTGTTTAAAGAATCCAGTTGGGAGTGTGTTTATCTCTGCTAACTACCATGTTTCATCCTGCTACATGTTGTATTATATTTCTTTCAAGAGTGCCACAGCAGTGATTCATGTGTCAGCCTCCACCTTGATCCTAAGACCATCATTCTCTCTGTGCACTGGCTCTGCAGAAACAGTACAGTAAACAGACATAAATGCTTTCAGAAGACACTGTTTTCCCTCTCCAGGACATAACATGTTGAGTTTATTAATGATTTGTGAGCAGGAGTTAGCAGACTTTAGTCTTAGTCCAGACTCTGGTAAATACGACCTTGACTAGCCATTTTAATTCCTCTGGGCCGCTGATTCTCCATCTGCAAAATATATAGGGTGGTAGAAAAAGGCTCCCCAAACTGTCAGGTCTCAAATTAGACAACAGATCCAATGAATTTAGTTTTATTCTTTCATTTTGGATTAATTTAATTTTAATTACTCAGTTACTATATCAACATTTAAAATACTCAAACACTACTGATAAATAAATGTCCCCCTTGAGCCTTGGAACTCTTTTTTCTCATTCTTTCACATTGCTGTACAATAGTCCATGATATGGCTATGCTATCATTTATATAAATCATTCCTTCATTGATTGACATTCTAATTTGTTTAGACACTTATTAAACAATGTTAGAGTGAACGTAACTGTGAGGAAATAAATATCTGTTGTTTTAAGCCACCCAATTTGTGGTACTTTGCTATGGCAGGCCTAGGAAACTAATACAGTAATTGAGCAGATCAAAAAGGCAGAGAGAGAGATAGTTACCTCTGAAGGGAGACTGTCCCTGATGACATAGAGAATTTCTTTGAAGAGGGTGCACCCAGCCTGGCTACTTATACCAAATACTTGATAGGGAGACTCACCAGTCCTGGTCCAAGCAGACAGTAGCTACTCTTGCCAGCATTATCAGAAACTGAAGCTGCAAAAGGCCAAAAGCCTTCCTGGTAGATCCTCCCTCCACTGTGTCAGAGGATGAGGAAAGACAGTGCAGCATAGTGTTACTTTTAACTGAACCCCTTTTAAAACTTCCAAGAATCAAACCTACTTCAAAGTTTTCCAAATAGGGAGTTATGAACTCTTTGAGGGCAAGACCATGTCTTATTCATCTTTATAGCCTCACAGAGTATACAACATAATGCTTAACATAAACTATGCCCTCAGTAAACATTTGTGAATAATTAAATATTTGGGTGCAGGCTAAATCAAGAAAAATCATATGACAAAAACCCTGGAGAGTTTATCCAAAAGCTACTGTCAGTGTGTTACTCCTGTTAGTTCAGCACAAATTTATAAATGATGGTTTGGCTTTGATTCCATTGTGACTGATCTCTTGCGTTGGAAATGTTATTAATCCTATCACCCTTATACAGGTGGAGCATTCCTGTATTTCAGCTTCAAGTCCTTAGTAGCAATATTTTTAAAGATGTCCTCTATTGGCATATTTTATAATTCAATGAGACTCACCCTTTTCTTTCCTTATTTCCTCTTAATTTTTCCTTCTCTTTCCAAGAACATAAGAGACAGTTACTTATTGATGTAATTTATGCTTTAGTTTTCAAACTGTATGCTAAAGAATCGCATTTTTCCACTATGTCTTTCCATTTAAATCCAGTCTTTCCTAAGTATTATCAAATATGTGATCTCTTAGAGCATGTTTCTTTTCCTTCCCTTTCTCTTTCTCTCCCTCTGTCTACCTGACACTTCCCTATCTTTTCTCCTTGTCAGCTGAGACTGAGCTTGAAAATGACTTCAAATGCCCCCTCTCTTCTTCTGTAGATGTTTGAATTTGACTTTAGAGTCTATTTTTTTAGTTTAAGTTTTGTGCAATAAGTCTATCACTAAACCACTCTGCAGCTTAGGAGACCTTTAGCTTGTTCAGTGCAGCCCTAGCCCAGTTCAGATAAAAGAGTTCTTCCCACTATGCCTTTAGGTATCTAGTAGTTGTTTAGGCTTGGGACTTTGATAGTTCAATGGTAGAATTCTCACTTTTCATGCAGGAAGCCTGGTTCAATTCCCGGACAATGACCTCTTGCACAGCCACACTCATCTATGAGTGGAGGCTTGCATATTACTATGATGCTGAACAGGTTTCAGCAGAGCTTCCAGACTAAGACAGACTAGGAAGAAAGGCCTGGTGATCTACTTCTGAAAATCAGCCAGTACAAACTGTGGATCACAGCATCCTATCCACCACTAATCCTAGGGATGGCGCAGGGCCAGGCAGCATTTCCTTCCATGGTGCACGTGGTTGCCATGAGTTGGGGGCCGACTCCACGGCAGCTAACAACAACAACAGTTGCTTATGGGTTGGTACATTGTGGAAAAGTAACCAAAGGGGGAGCTGTCTCTGCCAAAAGCACAATCTTGCTGGATCTTTCAGCTGGTGAGAGGCAGGTGCAGAATGAGCACAGCACACATCCCGACCTTCAGATCAATAGATGGGGGGTCATTCATCCATGAAGACAGAGCATTTGACTAGTACAGGCTGCTGAGCCCTTAAGATAAACTTTTATCACAGGTTCTCCTCTCAGCTCCACACTAGACACATCCTGGGTAGTATGTACTGGGGGGCAGGTGAGGGTTGCTTCATAGACAACTTCTAAGATCAGTTTATAAGCAGACACCTCCGTTCCTACTCTTGTCTTCTCTCTCTCATCTTCCCCTGCATTGCCACACCACACTCATTGCATCTTTCTATTTTTTTTCATTGCCATCCAGTCAATTCCAACTCATAGTCACTCTATATCAGAAAGAGTAGAACTGCCCCATAGGGTTTCCAAGGCTGTAATTATTAGGGAAGCAGACAGTCGCATCTTTCTCCCACGTAGCAGCTGATGAGTTCGAACCACCAACATTTTGGTTAGCAGCCAAGCGCTTTATCACTGGGCTACCAGGACTCCCTCTTTCCATATAAAGACCTCATTTTCCTCCTTTCTTTCACAATAAAATTCTGTTTTCCCTGACCAGACCTATCTTCTCCATATTCACACCCACCTTGTCTAGACTATATCCTTCTCTTTTGCCCCAGACTTAAATTCTCTTACCCTATCACTGAACTTGGATACAATTTATTCCTGTCTTCTTTGCCATGATCCCCAAGTAAAGATTCTGAACCCTAGACGGTGGTGGTTCTGCGGTAGAATTCTCTTCTTCCATGCAAGAGACCTGGGTTCGCTGCCAATGCATCTTAAGCACAGCCACCACCCAGCTGTCAGTGGAGGCTTGCACGTTGCTGTGATGTTAAACGCGTTTCAGCAGAGCTTCTAGACCGAGGCAGACTAGGAAGAGAAAGGTATGGTGATCTACTACTGAAAAAATAAGCCAATGAAAACCCACTGGATCACAATGGTTCAATCCTGTTGTGTATGGGTCACCATGAATGGGGGCGGACTCAACTGCAGCTAGCAACAACTTTATGCACACCTCAGTGAGCCTCCAATAAATTCTGCACCATTGGCTTGCATCCCTACAACTGCTCTTGCAAGGAGGGATGAGACCGGGACAAACCTGTGTTGTTCAAAGCAAAGATTCCTAGGGAATTCGAGGCTTACTTCAGACCAGAGCATGACCAGAAAGTTGGCTTTTTAAAGGACTCCTATATCACTGGAGGAACTAAGAGAGCTTGGGAGAAATGAGTACTATAATGGGAGCAAATGGTAAGCAGTTTGGCAGTAAGAGAAGAACGGCTTAATTAGCAGAGAAGTACCAATAAGAAAGAAACAAAAGCTGCCCAATATATGGCCATCAATCAACACAGGAAAAGCCACTAGCATTAGCAGCAATGGGGAAATTACCAGCTATGTTATCCAAAGACCCTACACCAAAAAAAGTGGAAAGTTTGGGATATTTGAAGACATGGTGACTTTACTAGAGTAGTTATTGCCTATTAGTTTGACCATTTTCTTCAAAGTTAGAGTGACTGGGGACTGTCTACTCATCTTTCTCACAACACTTCAATAATGTATAGTGTGGGGAAATTTGTGTTATAATAGGATACCCCAAAGCTGCTGGAATGTCCTAAGGCTCTAAAATTGAGCTACTATCCCGGATGCTGATGTATTTACCTGCTGAGCATAATAAACAGAGAACTGCAACAGACCCCACTACAGAACAAATGCAGACAGAGCTTAAGGAAGTCCTACATCACTGGCGAAGGTTTAAGATACGACAAACTATGTATACTTTTAGTTTTAAATTTTCTATACAATCTTGGCAATGGTTAGGGAAAATTAATGTAGCATTACTTGGGTCTGTTTAGATGAGTTCTTAACTCCGAACCGCATATTTGACTTACTGCAAATAAGACAGTGAGGAGTTCTTTTTAAATGCCTACTGAAGTTTGTTCTGTTTTTAAATTATTGCAAATTCTGCACCAAGTCACACAACCTTCCTAGTAGCTTGGGACAGACAGAGTAATTGAACCCCCTTCCGAGTAAGTGAATTTTAAAATGTAGATGATCATTCTACACCCTTAGTTTCAGTTGCCAATACAAATGAGTCAGAGGATTTGCTTCAGACACTGAGTTAATTGTGTAATTCTACAGCAGAAAATGCCATTGGAGAGTACTTGCTGACCTCACAGCTGAAAAAAACGATTTAAGAGAAGTGGAAACCAGATGTTTCAGTCACATTGCAGCCGCTGCTCTGAGACTTTATCCTGTACAGCCCCTGACAGGCTGTGACTGCTCTACAGGCAGACGATATGGTCATCTTCATTTGCTTATTTGTCTTACTGTGGGAAGAGGCTCATGGATGGGGATTCAAGAACGGAATTTTTCACAACTCCATATGGCTTGGTAAGAAAGTTTACTGCGATCTTCTTGTTGGGAATGTCAATTCTTTAAATCATAAAGAAATGAATCAAAGCAGTAAATTCTTCTGTTCTGTTCAAAGCTGATGTTTCCAAAGAAAATGCTCAGGGAAGATCTCCATTGCAATGCATATATTCTTTTTTAAGAAGCGTTTCCACCTTCTGAATTTTAAAAATAGCTCTTTTAAAAAGTTAATTGCTCAGTAGAAAATAATACTTAATACTTGTATTCCATATGAAAATAAATTTGAAATTTTTCAAAGTAGAGGTGGGACTGTAGTGGGAGGGTATTTCTTTGTTAAAAAACAAAATAAAACTGCCAGTATATTACCTTGTTTTTATTTAAATGTATTTGCAGTCAGATCTCAGAATTATAACAAGTAAATCAGAATATGTAAAAAAAACTGTATAATTATTGCTCCATATACTTTGACCTGTTGAGTATATACCTTGGTTTTATCAACATCTTAGCTATTTTGACAGTCAGCTTGCAATACAGAAAAAATGAAAAAGGTTTGTATTTCTGAATGCGTTCTTACCACTTGCATTCCTTTTATCCCTGCTATCCATGTAAGTACTTTTCTAAACCCTTTGGTTAGACAAAGAAAATTTCTGTTTTGTTTTGTTTTGTTAAATGTAATAATAAGATAGGCCAAACTGTGAAGATAACCTATAGAACAGAAAAAGCAAAATAAAGAAAACTCAAAACACCCCTGAAAGACTCTAAACAATGCTTTAATTCTCATGATACAAACAAATCCATATTGTTTTATGCCTAGTATTATGTTTAATAGTGGAAACTTTTGAATTGCTTGGGCAGAAAGTTGAGAGATTCTTGCATGAAATAAGGAAATAAAGAGAAAGAGAAAAACTAACCTGGGTCTTGGTTTCATGCGTGCTAAGCAGCACACAGTTGTAGAAGACTTTCCCATTCACATGTTTCTCTCTGGAAATAACTGCAGCCATGCGGATTTCATTAAAAAGCCTGATTTGTAATGCACAGCTTTGCTGCCTCTTTTTTCAACTTGAACCAGTGAACTAGTTTCATGCTGGACGCTGTGATCCATTTGACCAAGAGACGTTCTGGGATTCACTACAGGAATGAGCAAATCTCTTTATTTTCATTGCACACCATAAAGCTTAGGAAATATATACATATTTGTTAGAAATGGAAAAAAGTGCCATAATGCTGGTAAGAATTAAGCCAACACGGATAAACTTTAAAACGTTGTCAAACCCTTAACAAGTAATTTGAAGTTGTTTTTTTTTTTTAAGTGATGTTGTAGATTACAAAAATATAAAGCAGGGCATTAGAAGTTCTACCCAGAGATATAAAGAAGCAAATGCAAATCTTTGTTAAGAGTATGCTGCAAATCTGAAGGTTGGAATAACTGCAAATTGCATCAATCTGGGACAAATTATTGTTGGTCAGCCCCACACAAATTATTTACAGTTGGTTGGATCAATATAATATTAGACACTATTTAGGGAGGAAAGAAAATGGGATTAGAAGTCAAAAATATGCTAGTAACTCTCAAGAATAAGCCACTTTAAACTCTCTAGCTCTGTTTCCTCACTGGTAAAATGAGAGGGTTAAAATGGGGGATCCCTAAAGTTTATTTTAACTCTGGTATCCTCTCCCTATTGGCATAGTGGTTAAGAGCTTGGCTGTTAACCAAAAAATCAGCAGTTCAAATCCACCAACCACCCCTTGGAAACCCTATGGGTGCAGTTCTACTCTGTCCTTATAGGGTCGGCTCAACCGCAACAGGTTTAGGGTTTTTTTTGGTTGTTGTTATCCTCTAATTTCTTAAAACCAAAAACCAACCCACTGCCATCAAGTTGATTCCGACTCATAGCGACCCTACAGGACAGAGTAGAACTGCCACATACATAAGGTTTCCAAGGCTGTAATCTTTATGAGAGCAGACTGCCACATCTTTCTCCTAGGAAGCAGCTAGAGGATTCGAACTGCTTAGTAGTAGCCAACTGCTTTAATCACTGCACCCCCAGGGCTCCTAATTTCTTATAGTAATTAAAAAAAGAAAAAGAAAAGAAATGACTTAAGTACAAGAGATTTGAACTAGTTTAAATTGATTATGAAAATTGAAAATGCTCAGAGAAATAATTGTTTTCAGCCTTTTCGTTGAATCTGAAAAAGGAGAGGGGAAATGAAAAAAAGTAAGATATCTGAGCTCCTATAAGGTCCAGAAGTTATGCTTATGAGTTTTAATATTTTATTTTACTCTTAAAAATAACTATTACTATTCCCATTTGATCGATAAAGAAACTGAGGCTCAGGCAGTGATTTATACACGGTCACACAACTTGTCCATGGTAGAGCTAGGATAAAAAACTCGATCCAGTATGATTCTGTGGCTACTTGCCAAGAGGGGAAAAAAAGGTGGATTGAACAGATTTTCAGTTTTAATGAATAAATGACTATTGACTCAAAAAATACTTATTTATTCTGACTGATAAAACTTTTAAAGTTAGGGTTCATTGCAGAAATGCCCATCTCAATAGAATAAAATTCTGAATTGAGCAATACTTCAAAATGAATGCCTCATTTAAAATTGTCAAGTACATACACCAAGAGTTCTCAACTGTTCAAAAAGCAAGACCTGGAAGTTTGGTACTGTTTGACAAACAATGTATAATATTAATATTATTTAATAAATTAAATTGAAATTTATAACATAAATTTTGCTTTATTGGTTGCTATCACACTGCTAGACAAGTTGGGGCCGGTACCAAAAGTTGAAGAAAAATTATTTTCAATTCTGTTTTTTTTTTTTTTCTGCAGACATCATATTTCAATTTTAGAGTAAAATACCAAGGAAAACTTAGTTTGAGAAACCATGGCCTAATTAAAATAATTCCTACAAAAATTTTTTTTCAAGTAAAGATCTTTTAAGTGTATATTCTCAGGGAATAGATGCAATTTTAAAGTCCTTAACAATTAAAAACAATCTCTATTACAATGTATGAGTAAATTAAGCATGCCTTACGTGGTGCAATCAGTTAATATCTTAGGCTGCTAACCTAAAAGTTGGAAGTTCAAGTCCATCCAGAGGTTCCTTAAAAGAAAGACCTGGAAATCATTATAATATTAATAAAAAGTATTAATATTCCACAAAAAGCAGCCATTGGAAACCGTATGGTGCCCAGTTCTACTCTAACACACTTGGGCTGGCCATGAGTTGGAATCACCTTGAAAGCTACCGGTTTTCAATTTCTTTCTCTTTTGAAAGCCTTAGTATTCCTCTCTTCAAGCTAAAGGTACTCATGTTGCCCACTAGTGTCCAAGTTCCTTGAGGGCAGGACTTGATCTACAATGCTTAGTAAACAACCCCACGATACATTCTCAAAACAACCAAACTGGAAACTAACAAAAGTTTAGTTAATGAGGCTTTACCACATTAAGGACACTTGGGCAGAAGGTGACTTTCAGAAGGGGGAAACACTTTGACTGGTTATGATTTTGAATTTCTTGGTGTTTCCTGACCTATGAGCATCGGGTTGACTAAGGTCCTATGCACGTAAGTGATGGGGCTTTATCAAATAATGTATAAGAGCAGGATCCCTTGGAGTCTAGAAAAACAGGAAAAATGACAAACATTATCTCCCATTGAACAGTGGCACTGTTAACTTCAGCTTGGAGAGGAGAGCAAGGAACTGTATTCTTAATATTGCTGGATTCATGTCTTGCTTCATGCCAAGGAATATATGTTCTCATTGGAAATGACCTTAGGGTAGCTGACAGCACAGGTCAGGGTACAAAGATTTAATCACAATCTGGCAGAATACGTACAACTATTAGCGCTAACTACTAGAGCTAATGTTACTGTTATTGTCCTGGGAATCTTCACACTGTTTCTATGGCAAAATGCATTCCAAACTCAAAACAACCAATTTAAACAGTGGTCTATTGGAAGGAAACTCATGTATGACTTGACACTGCCTAAAATATTTTCAATTGCCTCATATGCATGTGAAAGCTGGACAATGAATAAGCAAGACCGAAGAAGAATTGATGCCTTTGAATTATGGTGTTGGCAAAGAATATTGATTATACCATGGACTGCCAGAGCAACAAACAAATCCATCTTGCAAGAATTACAGCTGGGGGGATTTCATACCATGAAGAAAGAAGAGCCAGGAAAATAGCATGTCCTCTGGACCTGGGGTCCCTGCGCTGAGAAGCTCGTCAGCCAGGGGAAGATTGATGACAAGGACCTTTCCCCAGAGCCAACAGAGAGAAAGCCTTCCCCTGGAGCTGGCACCCTGAATTCAGACCTCTAGCCTCCTAGACTGTGAGAGAATAAATTTCTCTCTGTTAAAGCCGTCCACTTGTGGTATTTCTGTTACAGCAGCACTAGATAACTAAGACAGGTGTGTTGGTAAATGTTTAAAAAATGGCTCTCTGAGGTTTGCAGGGAAGACCTGACTTACAGTGTTTGCCTATTTCCATGGTATAAATACTTCCACCTTGGACAATCTCTAGCTATTACCTTGACATCACTGATAGCAGTTGGGTAACAAAGCACAGCTGAGTCTGCAGAAACTGAATCTAGCACATCTCTGGTTTAATAGCACTGTTATCATAAGAACTCAACAGCAAATGCCCTTAGAGAAATGACTTAACTGTTCCCTATAGTGCATTCTACTTCCTTTGATTAATCATGGGCTCTTGTACTTTTTTTAACTTGTCTACGTTTCTTATTTGAATAAAAGATTTTTTTTCTGTTGGTTCACACATATCCATGATAACTAGAAGATGCTCTAAACATAATTAGTACTCAATAAACATTGTTGAATGAAACAACAAAAAAAAAAGTACAGCCAGAATGCTCCTTAGAAGCAAGGATGGTGAGACTTCGTCTCACGTACCTGGCCATGTTATCAGGAGGGACCAGTCCCTGGAGAAGGACATCATGCTTGGTAAAGTAGTGGGTTAGTGAAAAAGAGGAAGAACCTCAATGAGGTGGATTGACCCAGTGGCTGCAACAATGGACTCAAACCTCGCAACGATTTTGAAATGGCGCAGGACCGGGCAGTGTTTCCTTCTGTTTTACGTAGGGTCGCTATGAGTCAGAACCAACTCCACAGCACCTAACAACAACAACAAAATATGTTGGGAACAACATGTGAACTAAAAAAGACAGATTAAATAAAGAACTGAGGAATTGGTAGTTAGGTGTGTCCAGTTATTTCTCTTCTGTGTTTGAATCTATTTTTCTTCCTTTAATGTAGTATTTGTTTGCTTTGGATTCCTTCAGATCTTTTCTTAGTTTTTTATTTGTTTACCAAATTCTCGGTTATACTGCATTAGTCATTTCCCTCAAATGGATATTTTGGCTTATTTTTTTCTCCATCACTGTGAGTCTACATAATGGATGAATTTTTATTGGTTTCTCTTGTCTTCGTCTCACCCCCCTCCCCCCCACCCCGGCCCTTGCTGATCTTTCCAGGTTTTTATATGACTTAAAACAAAGCCAAAAGAAAGCATTTATCACCTTTGGATAATGTAGAAAAACAAAGTTGTATTAAAACTTTTTCTTGCAGGCTATCAGTTCAGAAACATAATTTAGCCTCAAGTTTCTGTCCGTACCCCCAAAGTTCCCTAAAATTCCCCTCATTTGTATTTTTTTCCAAAGCTCTCTAACAATGACAACTTAGCTCCCTAAGGCGGATGTCCCAGGAAACACTTTGGCAGCAACAATAGCTGATGTAATCTTCCAGCTGAGGCTACAAAATTTCCCTGTTTTCCACAAGAATGGATAATAATGAATTCATGACGTTTTGTGATTTCACAGAACAAGCAGCAGGCGTATACCACAGAGAAGCGCGGTCTGGCAAGTACAAGCTCACCTACGCAGAGGCTAAGGCTGTGTGTGAATATGAAGGTGGGCACCTTGCCACCTACAAGCAGCTAGAGGCAGCCAGAAAAATTGGTATGTAATTTCACAATGATTTGTATTCTATCTCAACCTTGGGAAAAAAAATCCACCCTTCCTTTAATCCCTTGGTAAGACTTTTCTCTCCAGCCCCTCTGGTAGTTCCCTAAGCCTCATGACTTTTCTGCTCTACTTCTCCCATCCTCTCTCCCTAGAGCTGGCAGAAAGTTCCTAGTACTAGCAACTTATTCTGGGTCACAAGCCATAGTGAGTTAAAAAAAAAAAAAAAAAGAAAGAAAAGTCATAAGAAAATAAAAACCTCATTATCTCAATATCATTTAAATTCATTATTAGTTTTAATGCCATTGCTATTCATTTTCAATATTGTTCTTCCTCTTCTTGACTTCTGAATATTAATCATACTACCATGTTGAGTCTTTTTTTTAAATAAATGTTTATTTATAACAAAAATTAAACAAGTTTTTTAATATTAAAATTAAAGAAATACATTGGATAACAATTGTAGTAAAGAATATGCTCATAAGAGTGAGGGTAAAAGCTGTTTATCTCCCCTTGGAATCACCACCTTATAGAAGCTCTTAGCTGTAAACAAGCAGAAGGATGATGCAGTCTCTGACAAATAGAACTGGGTAAACCATAATAGGTGTGTTCCCAGAACAGCTTGCCAAGTATTTGCCCAGGTCTATTACAGCTAATGAGCAAATGGGTTGGCGTGAATAGTTATGTCCTTAATGTGTACATTACTAAGAGTTCAATATGTCCTCTCATTTATTGGTAACTTCTCCAATTCGTCTAGGGTCTCCAGACCATCTATTACTTTTCCAAATACTGTGTAATTCATGTCCAAATGTGGCTGCTTGCCATAGGTGATGAAGAACTGAGATCCATTTGTGTTTGGGCCATTATTAGCCATGGATACAACACCTCTAACATTGTGCTTAAGATATTCACTGTATTCATCCTCAGACTTCTTGCCTCAGATGCTGTTACCTCCTCTTCCAGTACCTGTTGGATCGCCTGTTTGAACCATGAAACCCTTGATATTTCTGTGAAATATACAGCCATGGTAGTAATTACTGGCACAAGGGGCCAAGAAATTCTCACAGGTTTTGGGTGTCCTCTCACAAAAGACTTCTATTTCAATATCACCTACATCTGTATGCAATGTCACAGACATTCTTCTTGATGGTTTCAGGAAGTACTGTTACTTAATTATCACAGTGCTTCTGAGAAAGTGAGTTTCACCACTTCAGTGAAGCATAGCTGTTGCATAAAACAGAAAAGATGCAACCAGCGATGTCCATAAATGTCTGTTGACTGGAAGTTACCTCATGTTGAATTTTACAATGAAATTTCCTGGGTAGAGAAATACTGAATTTAGTGGCTTTTTTTTTTCCATTTAAAAAGAAAATAAGCAGGAGAATGCGTTTGTATGTTAGGAACAAAAGCTACGAGGAAAAGGAGGGTAAGCAGGTTGTAAGATGGGCAGGAAAAAGAAACTGGGAAGATGATGTTAGGATACCCGGTGAAAAACCCAGCAATTAATTGGTGCCAATTTTCTTCTTTGGAATTCCTGGGTGGTACAAATGGTTAACACACTCAGCTGCTAACCAAAAGGTTGGCAGTTCAAGCCCACCCATTGGAGCCTTAGAAGAAAGTCCTGGCAGTCTACTTCTGGAGCACAGTTCTACTCTGACGTACATAGGGTTGCCATGAGTCAGAGTCAACTGGACAGTAACTGCTGGTGGTACTGTTTCCTGGACTTTCAAGAGAATCCAAAGACAACTCCCTTTTGGAATTCTCTCCTCCAGTGAAGAAATACCTTTGCTAACAGGAAAGTACCCAACAAGGGCTATGCTATTATTATACGTTATTCAAGACAAAAATAAATGTGTTCTCTGAAATGTCCTGAAGACTACCAGCCTGTTGGGATGACTATCCTTGGTCTATGCTCACAGGTATCCTTAAGGCACAGGAATAGGAATGATGGATACACAGGCCACACATCCTGGACTGCTAGTAAATCACCCCTAGATGGCACAGGGAAACATTAAAACAGCATCCTAAATTGAATAAGGAAAACAGGGCTGAGCCTTTGATTGAAATGTATGAGATTTTTTTCCTTATTCAAATCTTTTAAAATATTCACAATATCTTAACTGATCCTAAAATAGAAATTAATTAAATTACCAACTGAAAATATTTTTTTCAGAATTGATAGTAATTTCAGAAATTATCTCACGGAGCTAGATAGGCCATTTTCATATTTATAGATTTCTAGTCCAACTGTGTCTTTTTTTTTTTTCCAAGTAAGATGTTGTTATCTAGTAAAAGAAGTTATATTTTATATATGTACAATATATACACATATATACAACATATGCCTTTTTTTTTTTTTTTTTTTTTTAGAAAACACTTGTTTCCCTCTTACATGAAATGGACTTGGGCATTTGAGAAACTGTCACTATTGAAATGAGACATCTTTGTTAAAATGACCTTTGCTCAGCTGAGTGAGTTTAACGGTTAATCCTATAGCCCTTTCTTTCCCTGCAGGATTTCATGTGTGTGCTGCTGGATGGATGGCGAAGGGCAGAGTTGGATACCCCATTGTGAAGCCAGGGCCCAACTGTGGATTTGGAAAAACTGGTATTATTGATTACGGAGTCCGTCTCAACAAGAGCGAAAGATGGGATGCCTATTGCTACAATCCTCATGGTTTGTTAAAAAGAATTATTTTATAAGCTTTCCAAAAACAGTTACATACCACTAAGAAGTTTTTAAAAAAGAAATGGTTTCTGCTTCCAAAGATAATTCAATTTAGCAATGATAATTATTAATAATAACTATATTTATAAAGTGATTGTGCTGTGCCAGACACTGAGTGTGGATGAACTACACTCTCAGTCCTCACAACTCTACAAGGCGCCATTGTTATACTCATTTTAGAAATCAGGAAACTGAGATTTAAAGACATTAAGTAATTTACCCAAAATCAGACAGCCAACAATTAGTAGTCAGGTGAAATTGAGAATTCAGGTCTTTTCTGTGCCAGAGAAACTCCCTGGCCACAAAGGGGGATAAAAGCAAGTTATAAAATAGTCACAGCTAATCAGCTAAAACAATAAAGTGATATCAAATGCCAACTGTTCAAAATTATCCCTTTGATAGAATGGCAAAAAGAAGACAAAATAAACAAATTCTGTCCCTAATTTCTTTTTGTTCATAAATGCTTAGACTTCCAAACTAAGTAACTCTCATTCTGTGGTTTGTTAAAACAATTACATGCTAGATATACTAGATATTATTATAGTATGTTTGTAGTCATATTTTTTCCTGTGGTTGCTTGCAGCTAGGGAATTTAAAAAGAAAATTAACTCGTTATAATTACTATAAAGAGTTATTCTTTCTTTATGCTTTTGGAGAAAAAAAAATAGACTAAGTTCTTTTAAGATATATTTCCTCCCAGGACAATGTTACAAAATGTCACAAAGTGTTACAAAGTCCTTCTGGTATTTATGATCAGATAGTGTCCCATTTGCATCTACCCTATAACAAATTCCATAAATCTCAATAGGAGATTTATAGTGAAGTTTTAGCATATTATTATAGAAGTTATTATTTAATGATATTAATCATTGGAGAACAGATTCTCACGTCTGTAACTAATCTATTCTCAAAATAATGTGTACTCAAAGTGAAAAGAATTTTGCCTAGAACTGTCACCTAGTCCCACTGCAGACACATGTGAATAAATAAATGCATTTATATAGCATTACAACTTGCAGCTCAGTTTTACATATTTTAAGCATATTTAGCCCATTACCTCATCGCTAGTAAAACATATATCATCCTTTCCTCCCTCTCTCGCTTTTTTGCTTCTTTTTCCCTTAATATACCTATACAGGTAACATTCTTTCTACTCTCAAGAATAACTTAATTTATGAATATATTCTCTGATTCTTCTTTTGCTTGATAAACTTCAGTATCTCTGAGCTCCTAGTCCCATCATTTCCATAGGTAAAAGACTAGGGAAATGGAGAAGTGCTAATGGAAGCATTCTTACAGTATTTCATTGCCCTTTTATAAGAATGCCATCTTAACTTACACATTTTTATAAGCTACTTTTCTTTTCTCAGGGAGGCTGAATACTTTTTACTTTTGGAATATGTGTGCAGAATCCTGGGGGACTGGCCCTTACCCAATTCTCAGTGTGTTTAGCTTGCTTTCGGTTTTAGTGGTATGCTGATTATTTAGGATGTGGTTAACCTAAAGGAGACTGGGGATTGTTTGAACTGGCATTAGGACAAGAACAATTCACTAAAAAATAATTGGAATGAAAAACTCATAACAGTATCAGAAAAACAAAGCAATCTATTAATCAATATCACCGTGTTAGAGCTGATTGAAGAGAGTAGGGTTATGAAGTGTTTAGAAGTAAACTTGCTCATTTCAAGTTCTGTATTTATTAGATGATGTTGACTGCCTTTATGTAAGAATATTTTTAACCATTTAACAGTTCTCAGAGACCAAGTCAGCTTCATGAATCTGTCAATTTCTAAATAAGAAATAGAGGCAATAACTATGTATATGTAACGTAAGATATAGAGCTGAATGAGTATAGCTGAGGAGGCAACTCTGATATATACTACAAAGATAGGAAGCTATGGGACAGAGCAAATCACTCACCAGGTTGGTGCTGTACATGTTTATGTACATATGTAGGCTATATATTATATAATATTTAATTATGCAACAAGAAGAGCCTACATTTGCAAGAAGTCTTAAGTTTTTCTTCTGTATTTTATCCTGACTAATCCTGTGAGGTAGGTAATAGCAGAAGCATGATTATTTTTATTTTACCAAAGAAGAAACTGAGGTAGAGAGTGGTCACAGAGCTCAGACTAGGTCTCTGACATTTTTTCCCTTCCCAGTTTTTCTATCCTGGGGAGGTAATACCTTAATTTCTACGCTATTAAGGATTCTAATACAATTCTTTAAAATAGCTCTTTTAAAATAGAGTATTATTGGGAAAAGCCTCTGATGGATATAAAGAAAAATATCTTCAAATGAGTCACCAACTACCCCCACCACACAAGTTATTTGTGGTGTAAATGGTTAAGCGCTCAACTGCTAGCCAAAAGATTGGTGGTTCGAACCTACCCAGAGGCACCTCAGAAATCAGGCCTGGCTCTACTTCTAAAAGGTCCCAGCCTTGAAAACCCTATGGAACAGTTCTACTCTGCACACATGGGATTACCATGAGTTGAAACTGACTCAATGGCAAACAACCACCACCACCACCACAACCCTTTTTCTAGACACTAGCCGCTTAACCTGATGTGGAATGAAAATTAACCAGAGTCCCTTCACAGCTTTCCCTCTAGGTCATATTTGTAAAGTCCGGTTCCAGCAAAGGGGTTTCACTTCCCTCCCATGACAGGTTATACAACTTGACTGAAATCTGTGAAATGATGAATGATTTAGAGAAAACATAAATACTTGCACCAAATCTTGAAATATTAGGATTAGAGTGTTAGTTTAAAACTATAAAAAGGGAGTACAGAATGGTTATATATTATTCCTTTTAATTGGATTAGAATGACCTTCAGGGTCTCTTGTGCTCCTGAAAGTCTATAATGAACTTTTAAAGAGAATTTATGGGAATCATTATTCTAAGTGTTTGAATCCCTCAAGACAAAGTGGTGACCCTACAGGACAAAGTCCTGGGCTGTTGCTAACATTGATATATATACTTGTCAAAAAGCACAGAACTATACATGTAAGACCTATGCATTTTATGACTTAAAAAAGCTCAAGTAATTAAATTTCTATTTTTTCTTCTTATTTTTCTTTGGTTTAAATTCACAGAGAGTCCATGTTTATGCTAGAGAATTTAGAAACTATTCATAAAAAAAAAAGTACATCTATTCTTTAGCTAACCCAAAACCCACTGCCGTTGAGTCAGTTCCGACTCATAGCAACCCCATCTGGTTTCCGAGGCTATAAATCTCTACAGAAGCAGACTGCCACATCTTTCTCCCAAGGAGCCACTGGTGGTTTCAAACTGCCGATCTTTCATTTTGCAATCAATCGCTTTAACCACTGCACCACCAGAGCTGCTTTCTTTAGCTATAAGTATACATAATATAGTGTATACCAGTTGCTGTCGAGCCAATCCATACTCATGGCAACCCCATGTATGTCAGAGTAGAACTGTGCTCCACAGGATTTTCAATGGCTCATTTTTTCGAAGCAGATTGCCAGGTCTTTCTTCCAAATATAGTATCTATTGGGCCAATTCTTTAATATTTCACAAAAAGTAATAAATACATCAAAACTAAGAAGTAAATTTCATGTTTAGCTAAGGATATTTTTTTCTTCCCCTAATGTTCTCTCTTTCCCCCGTCCTTCCCCCATTTCAGCAAAGGAGTGTGGTGGTGTCTTTACAGATCCAAAGCGAATTTTTAAATCTCCAGGCTTCCCAAATGAGTATGAAGATAACCAAGTCTGCTACTGGCACATTAGACTCAAGTATGGAGAGCGGATTCACCTGATTTTTTTGGACTTTGACCTTGAAGATGACCCAGCTTGTTTGGCTGACTATGTTGAGATATATGACAGTTACGATGATGTTCATGGCTTTGTGGGAAGGTACTGTGGTTTCCCTATACAGGAAGTTAAATGAACATCTGGTATTTTGTCTGATGTTTCTTTGATTAATTTTATTTATCCCATTGTCCCGACAATATTGATTTTCTAGTATTTCAGCGCTCCTACAACACCATATCTTTAAAAAAAGATTTTTTCTGTTTAAGATTTTTCTTAACATATTAAGTCACGGCCACTGCTACATGTACTTATTAAAACAGTGCTAAACCAAGACCAAAACCAAAACCATTGCCATCAAGTCAATTCCAACTCATAGCCACGTTACGAGACAGAGTAGAACTGCCCCACAGGGTTTCCAAGGAGCCGTTGGCGAATTCAAACTGCCGACCTCTTGGTTAGCAGCCGGGCTCTTAACCACTGTGTCACCAGGGCTCCAAAATAGTGCTAGCTGTCCTTTAATTATTGTTAAGTTATAAGAACTAGTTAAATAGTCCATTTATAGAAACCTCATGATTTGGCTAACAATAGGAGGAAGAAAAGGAAACCCTGCGAAGTGGTTAAGAGTTCAGCTGCTGACAAAAAGGTCGGCAGTTTGAATCCACCAGGCGCCCCTTGGAAGCCCTATGTGGCAGTTCTACTCTGTCCTACAGGGTTGCTATGAGTTGGAACAGACTCAACAGCAACGGGTTTTATTTTATTTTTTTTGGTTAGGAGGAAGAGAGATATGTGAGTTGGGAAGTTTGTTGGGGGGTTTTAAGCATTTTAATTTCTGTCATTCTCTTAAAAATGATTATAAATTCAATAATTATTGCCTTTCTTTGTACAAAACATTTGCTAAGCATTATAGATGTAAGATAAATAGGCAAAGTATAGTCTCTTCTCTCAATGAATTTGGTGAAAGAACCAGTTAATGGATCTGCTTAAAAATAAGTTTCTATGCCATAAAAAACAAGTGGTCCATTCTTCAATATTTTTCCTCTGGGTTTTCATCATACTGGGTCACAATCTTTTTTTTTTATTCCCCACCTCAAGTGTTGGTGTTATTAAAGCTTAAATTTTGAGTGCCTTACAAAATACTGCAAAATTGAAGAGTGTACCATTAAGTATTTTATATAGTCAAGTCTCCACTTACGCCATATTTTAGAATGTTATCAATTCTTTATTCTCTGTGATAGTAATTTAACAGAAGAAATTAGTAGTGAAGACAATTAACAATGACAGATTTAATAGCTTTTTATGTTGACTTTGAAACTTGTAACTTAAAAAAAGGCAATTTTTGGAGGGAAAATGGTTTTTGTTTTGTTTAATTTCATTCTTTGGGTTATAGACTACTGCTATGGGAAAAAATACAAACAGTTCTTTTAAATAGTTTAAGAAGTCATAAAGTTGGGTTGGAGGAATCAAGAACAAGGTGTTTTTTTTGAAGAATGGATGTCTTACCTTGGGAATTAGGATGACTTTCAGGTTTTGACTTTTCTAAACTTAGTTTTAAAAATCAATTACAGTCCTAGATAAAATAATGGACTACTATTTTTTGAGAAAGTTTTCAACAGGCTAGTTTGCTGTTTGTTAGATTTAAATAATGGAATTTGCCTTTATAGTAGACTTTTTCCCTCTCTGGAATGAATTATATTTTAGAAACTGGCATTTTCCCTGATTTTTAATATAATACTCACAGGAGTTCACTTCAAGCCATGATTCAGATAAAAATCAAATCCTTTTATGTCTATAAGGTCCAACATAATTTTTCCACTTCAGATTACCCATCCTTAGAAATCAGAATATCAATAGCACCAGCTGTACATTCATTCTTCTTTAACTATGAAGACTTTATTTTAATCAGAAACAAATTTTTTATTTTTCCAAGTACATTCAAGTTATCCATTACATACTTTTAGAGATACACAACGTGGAAATGCCATATATCCTTTCTTAAGAATCTCATTAATACGGTGAGAAAGTTAATTCAAACAACAAACTTGATTCTAACCTCTCTTCTCCCTGACAAATAAAACAATAAAAAATTTTGAAATAATAGAAAAAGAAGCCATTACTTAGGGAATAAAGCATTTAATTATCAGTAAGGGCTACTTGCAATAGCTGTGTAATATTCATTCTTGTGACCTCTGTTTTTAAAAATTCTCTTTCAGATACTGTGGAGATGAGCTTCCAGAAGACATCATTAGTACAGGTAATGCTGTCACTTAAGGAGCAAGACTATGATTTCTCATTCCTCATAATGAAGACATAGTAGTTATTCACTTTTTAATGTGAGAGGACTGAGGTCTATTAGCTTGTAAAATGCAAAGAAGTGTTTATTTACACTTTTAAAAAGACTTATACCAACTTCTTGCATTAAAAATGTGGAGACTTGTTATTTGAAGGAGATGCGGCCTGAGATAGTCTCAAATCTACAGATTCATAAATACTGCTATGGTTTATGATTTCCATAAAATGTACTGGTAAATGGCTAAACATTTTAATTGACAAAGGACTGAAGTAATTTATAAAGTTGTTAAAAATATATTTTGTCACTAAAAAAATTTTTACATTGTATTTATTACATTTTTATCTTGGCATAGCACTCCCCAGAGAGAGTTCTGAGGAACACAGTTCTGTGAGAGGTTTTTAATAGGTGGTTGCATGAGAAAAGGGCTTTAAGGTAAAATAAATTTGGAAAACATTGGGTTAAATAATTTTAAACAGATTTCTTTATCAGAGGACTTCATGAAGGTTTTAAATGCTAATTAAGCATTGTAAATCTTAAAGGACTAAATATAATAGGCAATGTTTGCAAACACCTTCTGCCCCTGCAAATTATTTTGTGGGAATTTATTCCAGGAAAGATACCCCAAGAAATGTCCTTGTGGGACATAAATTTATCTCAATAAGTGATACCACCCTAAGTTATCCCAAACGGCCATTTTCTTGCTAAGAACCTTCACTTTCTTAGATGTCTTCATTTTCTCTATTTTCAGCACCAGCACTAGCAGTTGGTTTTCTTCTGTGTTCTATTTTTCCTTCATGTCATAAAATTATCACCATGTTTCTCCTACTAAAAACAACAAAGCTATCCAAAAACCAAACCCATTGCTGTTGAGTCAATTTCAACACATAGTGACCCTATAGGACAGAGTAGAACTACCCCATAGGGCGTACAACACTGTAATCTTTATGGAAGCAGACTGCTACAACTTTCTCCTGCAGAGCGAGTGGTGAGTTGGAAACACCAACTTTTTGTCTAGCAGTCGAGTGCACCACTGCGCCACTAGGGTTTCTAATAAAGCTATATTGATACTAATTAAATTACTCCCACACCCCAGCCTTGCAGTGCACTCAAGTCTAATCTATGTCTCTATCTTTATTAAAAGAGATGGAACTTCCTAATCAATCCTTGAATGACTAATGCTTAAAATTTATTAACTCATTACTGTTACAATCTCCCTAGGAAGGCTAATTTATTTAGCCTTTCAATTATATCTTAGTTTTGTTTTTGAGAACATATTGTATGTTAACAGAAAGTAGAAAGAAGAGATCTTAAAAGTTGTAGGAGATAGTTGAGGGATGAGAATCCTCTTTTTAAAAAGGGAGTCAAGAAGTCTGAAAACATGTTTTGTCTAGAACAGACAAAACTTACTCTAAATGTAATCAAATCAGGATTTTTCTTGCATAACTGCAAGAAACTGGAAAAAAAAATACAATTTATTATTCAAAGAGAAACAAATCAACCAACTGAAAAGGATATAGTTGAACACAAAAGCCAAAGATTTAGCAAAAACAGCAGGAAGAGAAAATGGATACAGAAGACTAGAAAGAAAAAGAAGACATAAAATACTTTTAACAAGTAATCTTATCAGTCAAACATAATCCTGTTAACATTTTGATCTAATTTTTCTTTTGAACACGTGCTTATGCACCCCAAAATATTTATATTAAATAATAAGTGAATAAATAAACTAAACACAACCCATAATCTCACCACTTTAAGAATAAAAGCTATACATAATTAAGAATGTGTCCACTCTTCTCATCTCTCCAACTCCATCCCAGAAAGGCATTTGCTAACTGTGTAATGACCATCCTTCCAGGTGTTTTTCTATATACATGGACACCAAGAACATATTCCCAAGTCAGAATATGATATTTAGATCATTCTAATTCTTTTTTTGAGGCTAAGTAGATCATTGTAATGGATATACCATAATTTGTCATGTACCAGTATTTAATGTCCTGAAGATGTTTGTTTCTGATCTTTTCTTGTTTGTTTCATACTCAGTGTTTTAATGAGCCCTTTTTAACCTCTACTTTTAGATATTAGGTTTTTTTTTTTAAACACATTAGATTCCTAAAAGTGAGATTTTAGGGTCAGAAGATGTGCATTTTAAATGTTAATAGATGCTGCCAAATTACCACAAGCTCTACATTGTCAATTTGCATTTTAACCAGAAGATTATTCTCCACATTCTCTCCCAATTTAAGAGCAATAAAGTCTTATTGTTGGTCTAATTTGCATTTCTTTACAGTGCATTTTGAACATCTTTTAATATGTTCATTGTCCTTTAGTACTCCTTCTTTGAATTGCCTATTTATGTCCCTTGCATATGTTTTGGAACTCTTCTTTTATTTCTAGCAATTCTTTTTATATTAAGGATATTAATCCTATTTTATTTCATCTGTCCTTTACCCAATAACTTTAGTTTCTTTTACCATAGGAAAAAAAAATTTTTTTTTCTTTTAATTTGTGCAAAACTCACAAGTATGTGATAAGTGCAGTAGATCAGAGCACGAACTCTGGAGCCATACTGCCTGACCTCAAACCCTGACTCTGCTACTTTAGCTCTGTGGCCTTGAGCAAGTTACTTAGGCTCTCTGTGCCTCTTGTTTCACATCTGTAAAATGAATATTTTATTGGTACCTTTCTCATAGTGTTGCTGTAGGGATTGATACATGAGTTACTAGATGAAAGGCATTTAAAGATGTGCTTGGCAAACACTGGCATTCAGTATATGTAAGGGTTTTTTTTTTTTGTTTTGTTTTGTTTTTAAGTGAATTCTGAATTTGTGATCTTGATTAAGAATTTTTACTCCTAAACAAGAAAAAAAAATCCCTATTTTCAAAGAAGAAAATCTTGTAGTCTGTTAGAAGTGAAAAAAGAGTTTTACTGAGGAAAAATACAGCTCGAGCTGGGCAGCACTAAGTAAAAATACAAAGCACTCCATCATTCAAGTAGAGAAAGAGGTTTATATACATACAGAACAAAGGAAAGCTAGGGGGTTAATGACTGATTATAGATAAGATCAGCTTCAGCTTGAAGTCCTTTGAAATGTAAAGGTTGGCCACTTGGCTAGGAAGGAGTGAGCTACCATCTAGGTGAGTGGTGCCAGCTGGTTAGATTATACAGGATTGCAGTCAGGAATACATCTTTTCCAGGAATGAATTGTTTACATCTTGACACATTCTTCCTATGAATAAATGGTTTACATCCTAATCTTTTGCTCCTTCAGAATGCATGTTGGCCTCATCACTCTTACGTCTGGCACAAGTGCCTCCTGTTTGAGACTTTTGTGTTTACATTTCCAGTTTTTGATCAAGCCTGTGCTAGGAGGTGCTGATCATCCACAATGGAGCAGCCTTTCTTCTGCAAGGACTTTGTCTGTTATCTTGAGGAGTTTTAGTTAATAAAAATTATTTTCTTCACTTTTCCAAGCTAATAGGCCTCATCATCAGGGTGAGCAGGTTTTATGGGGGAACATCTTAACAGACAAGGCCACATTTGAGGAACATTTCTCACTCAGGACAGAATTATATAGGTCAAGATGAAACACACCCAGGAAGAAATCTTCATAGGAGGTGAGCCTGCAGGCAGAAAATTGCTGTGTTAAGGCAGAATTAAATAAGGCAGACACAGCATAGGACACATAGACATCTAAAAATTTTCTCAGCACCAAGTTTGCTGCGGTATCCACTAGTTTGGCAGTAGCAGCCACAGCCCTAAGGCAGGGATGGCATTCCCTGGCTACAGGGTCAAGCTATAGGTTCTAATAAACTATAGGTCTTTGTTGTCCTCCATGTTTTTGACTTAGTACACCTAAAGTGTTTCTAGATACTTCATGTACAAATAAGGAAAAATGTAGATTGTAATTGGGAAAACCTAGATCAGGTGTGTTCGTTGAAGCCTCTTTTAACTGAACTACGACCTCTCCACCTTTTGGTGCAATTTGGAATGAATCTGGCTCAAAGATCTTAAATATTTGTATAAAGATTGAGCCAACAAAGAAAAACTGGGAATCTAGGTTTGACAATAGCCTAGAAACCAAATCCAGGTTCAACGGACTCCTTGAAACCCCCGTAGCTCTTTTTTTGTTTCAGGTGTAGGTAAGACAAGAATAGCTTTTTTCCATTTAGGATCAATAGAGATGCCTTCTGCAGAAATAGGTGGCCTAAATATTTGACAGAAAGCTGAGCCAACTGTAATTTTTCTCTGGGTACCTATGTCCAAAAGAGCTGTTTTAATAAAGCTATTCTGTCATCAAAATAGGCTTGCTTGGAGATTGTGCAAAGTAAGAAATCATCAACGTACTGCAGCAATGTGGATGTGTTTGCAAACTGTAAAGGCTGCAAGTCTGCACGTAGAATCTGAGAAAAATAGGTTGGAGATTTTGTATATCCTTGTAGCATTAGAGTCCAGGCAAAAGGCTCATTGTCCCAGGTAAAAACAAGTATTTATTTTCAGAATGCACAGGATACTAAAAAAGGTGCTGCAAAGATCCACAACAGTAAAGTGAGTTGCATCTGAAAGGACTTTAGAAAGTAATAAATGAGGATTAGGGACTACTGGGAATCTAGGAATAACAATATGGTTGATTGCATGCAAATCTTGAACAAATATCCAGCCCCTATTATTTGGTTTTTTAACTGGAAGAGCAGGAGTATTACAACAGCTGGTACAAGGGACAATTAAATCTTTAGAAAGGAAATCTTGTATGTTGGGAGCTAGTCCTTCTTTTGCTTCTCATTTGAGTGAATACTGGGGAATTTTTGGCAGAGGTTTAGATACATCTTTTTGAATTTTAATCTACTCAGCTGACAAAACTCAACTTACACCTGTGGATATGGTGGCTTGTAAGTTTTCAGGAACTTGGGAAAAGATGTCAGAAAGGGGAGAACTAGGCTGAGTTGAATTCTGGAGAGGTACAACGAGTGCTTGCATATAGCAAATTACTTCTTCTTCCTGAATATTGCCTAATGCACAGCCTATCTCTGTTGACTTAGGTATATCAGGTAGACTCAATAACATTGTCCTCTTTTCATTAAATTGTAAATGACCATTCCATTTGGATAAAAGATCTTTTCTCAATAGATTGACAGTAATATCAGAATTCAGCAAAAAAGAGGTGTAAATTATTCAGTAGGACCAAGAGATATTGGAACACGTTAGGACTGAATGAATGTTTGTTCCTAATTGGTGACTCCCACTACTTTAAAGTTTTTAGTACTCTGGGGCAGGGCCTTTTGTAAACACGTGGGGTTAATAGCAGATAGGGTCACTCCAGTGTCAATTAAAAGTTTGCAAGGTTATTCGTTAATAAATAAAGTAGTTGCTCCTTGTGGATTAAGAGCCACCACAGGAAAGTCTCTGCTTTGTCCCTGGAGCCACTTTATTCTGAGTCAGATTGTAGGATTTTTTTTTTTTAGGGGGAGCCCTGGTGCCACAGTGGTTAAGAGCTCAGCTGCTAACCAAAAGGTCAGCAGTTCAAATCC